GGGCGGGGGCGCGGGTGCAGGACGGGAGGAGGCCAGAGACCGCGCTCCTGTCAGGCGCAGCCGCGGGCACCCCGCTCGGGTCCTCGGGGCCGGGCAGCAAGGGCGGCGCCCAGCGGGCAGCGGGGGAACTGGCCCAAGAGGGCAGAGCAGGCGAGAGAAGCCGGAGGAGGGCGTTCCCCAGCGGGTTGCCTAGGGAGGCGAGGAGGGAGCTGCCCCAGGGGACTGAAGGGGAGGTCACTTTCCAAGGCCCTCGGCGTCCGGCTCCCTCCTTGAGCCTCATTTCATCATACGTAAGGATGGGCCAGGCGCGGTGGCTCCCAGTACTTTGGGAGGCTGAGGCTGAGCAACATAATGAGACCTTGTCTCTACAATAAAAAAAATTAGCCAGGCATGGTGGTGCACGCCTACTCATCCTCCCCTTCTCAACAAGGACAGCAGCTTCCTACTATTATTCCTCTCGTCCACTCATCCATACCAGAGAGGCTGAGGCAGAGGATCACCGAGTCCAAGAGTTCAAGGATGGGGTGAACCATGATCGTGCCACTGCACTCTAGCCTAGGCGACAGAATGGGTCTCTCTGGATGGCCTCTAAAGGCTGAGAATTCACGTTTCAGGAACTCTTATTTACTGAGTGAATGAAGTGTAGTGATTCCCAGTTGTAACTTCTCTCCACAATAGTAATTATTTAACTTTTCTTATATACCTAATACTGAACTGTACCCCCCCCCTTTTTTGAGTCAGTCTCACTGTCACCCAGGTTGGAGTGCAGTGGCACACTCACGGCCACCCGCAGCCTCAACCCGATAGGGTTCAGGTGATCCTTCCGCCTCAGCCTTACAAATAGCTAGAGCTACAGAGGTGTGCCACCACACCTGGCTAATTTTTTGATTTATTGCAGAGGTGAGGTCTTGTCAGTTGTCCAGGTTGGTCTCAAACCTATAGGCTCAGGCAATCCTCTTACCTTGGTCTCCCAAAGTGCTAAGATTATAGGCATGAGCCACTGTGCCCAGTCAATACCCAACACCTTTAAAATTCTTTAAAAAATTATTTCACTTTTTGTATTTATCTTCTATAGATATTTAGAGTGTACTGATCTGGAATCCTATAGCATCAAATGCATTATGTTATGGTGTTTCCTAAGATTGCCACACTAATGGAAGGGCATGGAAACAGAAGGACAGAAAGCACTCCAGTTGCAGATACATATAAGCAAATGTGCAAAGGGAGAACATGAGGGTAGGGGCATGTTCAGGAAACAGGGTGTAGTCCAGTTGTATTATATGCTTTATACCAAGGAGAGTAATGAATGGCAGGTAACACTGGGAAGTTGGGTTGTATTCTTGGCTGGAGGAATGGAGAGTGACGGTGCTTGGTTCAACATCCATTTCCACCCTCAGTTCCCTGCCCGAAGCACAGACTACAGAACTCAAATTTGCATTATAAATTTTATTCCCGATGCGGGACAGATTCCTTCCATCCCCAAAATGAATCACATGCTACCCTGGAAACACTAGGAAACTCTCCCACAATCTCCAAGGAAGTAGAAAGGCAGGTGCTGGGGACTGAAAGGCTTTGAAGTTCCCTAGCCTACTTATCCTCCCCTTCTCAACAGAGGACATCAGCTCCCTATTATTCCTCTTATCCACTCATCCCTTAAAAAAAAAACACACACATAAAACCATCACTATTAAAAAAAAAACTCTCAAGTATTGGGAGGAGGGGTCGCCTGTGCTGGGACTTGAGGTTACTGGTCATCAATGGAAGAGGAGGTAGAGGAAGAGGAGCCATCACTGTTTCTGCTGCAGAGCTTCCTTCCTTGCTGCATCCTGCAGCAACTGTGTGTCAACCTCGTCTGCTGGCAACTGCACGTAGCGGACCACTGAGCCCCGGATGAAGCAGTTCTTCACTGATAACTAGACAAAAATAGACAAATGTGAAAACACCCTTAAAAATGTCCTCTAGTCACCCAGGGGCCTCCTGTTTTGTAGGTGTTTCCTGTTCTCCACCATCCCCAACTCACCATGTGAGGATATTTTTCAGGGTCTGTGACACTGATGTCAGTTAGTTTGATGTTGAGATACTAAGAAAGAAAGATGAATACCATTATTAACCCTAGCAACATGATGAAATGCCCAACCCTTAAGCTCTCCCCTCTTCTTCCCCAAGAACTGATTCTGAGCCCTTGCTGTGACTCACCTGATCCACAGAATGGAGGGTTCCACAGATGCTGTCAAGGACAGAGGAAGGGAAGAACCAAATTAGTTTACAGTCAGCATAGAGGTGACTTCAGAGATGAGAATATGGTTGGGAAAGTCAAGGACTTTAAGAAGTCAGAAAAGGTGGAACCCAAAGGGGGCATTCCTAAGCCCCGGAGTAGGAAAGACAGAGCTGCCAGAGTGGTTTGTTAGTTTAGACCTCGCATCTCTCTCTAAACCAACACATTCTTAATAGTTACTATTAAAACAACTGTTATGAGCTAGACCTGTATTCTGAATAGAATCTACTCTTTACAACTATTTTAAGGTAGCTATTACAATGGGCTCAGAAAGGTTGTTCTAAATCTGCCTGAGTTTAACACACACAGGAACTTCAGTACAAGTGCCTGACTCCCAGAACCATCAGCTGTTTTCAAATATGTACTGCTGTGGAACCAGAGCCCCATTATGTAGATAAAGGCAGTTAGCATTGCTCTTGATGATACAGGCGTGATGTCCTCTCCCTCCCCCAAATGAGTCCCCTGAAATGCTGAGGAATGCTATCAAAACACCAGTGCTCAGGCCAAGGACAGTGGCTCATGCCCGTAATTCCAGCACTTTGGGAGGCAGAGGTGAGAGGACTGTCTACGCCCAGGTGTCTGAGACCAGCCTGGGCAACTTGGCCAGACCTTGTCTCTACAATAAATCAGAAAATTAGCCAGGCGTGGTGATGTGTTCCTGTAGTTCCAACTACTTGAAAAGCTGAGATGAAAGGATCGCCTGAGCCCAGCAGGTGGAGGCTGTGATGGCAGTGAGCATGCCACTGTACTCCAGCCTGGGTGACAGAGTGAGACTCTGACTCAAAAGCAAAAACAAAAAATGCTCAAAGCCTTGCTACTTCTCTCCCAACTTTTTGTCAATGGCTTCAACATTAAATCTCACAACCTCAAATCCTGAGTTGTACTTCTCTACCCTCCATGTCCCATGAACCCCCATCTTCTGCTGATTTCTTTTGAACTCTTCTAGCTTGACTTATACACGATGGTCTTATTACTTTGCACCTCATTCCAGGTCAGATTAATAACATCCTGCATGTTATCACCAGATTCTAAGTTCCTTAGAGCCATGGTTATCAGCCATGAGTACCCAAAAGTTTTGAATCCATGACAAAAGAGGAAACATAATATAGTGTGCACATGTATGTGGTATGCTAAAGGTTGCCAATAGTTTTTCCCTAAGAATAACTCCTCTTCAATTGCCCTTCCCATTTTTTTGGATTTTAAAGTTTTTAAATAAAATGAGTGTAATAGTTTTTAAATGTCCTTATCTAGCTGGGCGTGGTAGCTGTAATCCTAGTACTTTGGGAGGCTGAAGTGAGAGGATTGCCTGAGTCCAGGGGTTTGAGACTAGCTTGGGCAACTTGGTGAGACCTCGTCTCTACAATAAATCAAAAAATTAGCGGGGTGTGTGGTGGCATAGTTCCAGCTACTTGGAAGTTTGAGGCAAAAGGATTACCTGAGTCCAGCAGGTGAGCCCAGCAGGCTGAGGTTGTAGTGGCCGTGAGCGTGCCAACTGTATTCAAGCCTTGGTGACAGAGTGAGATTCTGACTCAAAAAAAAAAAAGTTCTTATCTTACCAAAAATAAAGTTAGGAGTTTTCTGTTGGACCTCATTTTTTATAAAATCTTGCAAATGTCTGAAATCCAGTGTTAGAACTACTGCCTTAGTGGTAGTCTCACCATATCCATAGATGCTGAAAAACATTTGACAGCACCCCATCACCTGCAGCAGTAAAGGGCTCGGTGGCTCAGCCTGTAATCCCGTGCTTTGGGAGGCTGAGGTGAGTGGAATGCCTCAGTCCGCAGGTTCGAGACCCACCTGGGCAACTTGGCGAGACCTCATCTGTACCATAAATAAAAAAATCAGCCGGGCATGGTAGTGCATGCCTGTAATTCCAGCTACTCGGAAGACTGAGGCGGAAGGATCACCGGAGCCCACTGGGTGAAGGCTGCGGTGGCTGGGAGCAGCCACTGCACTCCAGTCTGGGCGACAGAGTAAGACTCCAACTCAAAAAAAAAGGAATTGCATAAAGTGGTGTCATTTCATTTAGTCCCGTAAGAAGGAGATAGGTGGCACAAAAGTGGTTTTATAAGCATGACAGAAAGATTTTCTCTCAACCCAATGGACAAGTTGCTTTAGGGCCTGGGATTAGAACACAAGTTATTCTTGCCATGTGAAAGGACCAGGAGTGAAAAAAAGAGTTGAAACTCAAAGACAAGTCATCTCACCGAACTACCTAAGGGTGTTGGTGATTTCCATACTTGTCGTGCTTTGTGGCCCCAACCTATCTGCCATCAATACTACCTGCACTGCCAGTGTCATACAAAGAAACCTCTGTTCAAAGGTTTGACTTATGCCTCAAGGTCAAGTTGCTCTCTTTACTAAATTCCCTGCCATGTTAATGTGTATCCTACCCCACCAAGAGATTATCTCACATAGAATGTGGAAGACAATGTTTGGGAAGAGAACGCATTAATTCAATCTTTCTAAAAGATAATCAGGTAATAGGCACCAATATTTTAAATATATGCTTTATTTAAAGGATTCTTTCCCCCAAAGAAATACACAGATGTGTACAAAGATGCATGTTTGAGGATGTACAGGACAGCATCTTTTGTGAAAACAGAAGTGGAAACAGTCTAAGTGACCAACAGGAAGGACTTGGTTAAATCAGTTCCAGTCAACTAATAAAAATGCCATTCACACATTAAGAATGTTAAAGGTCATGTAATTTGATTACTTCTGTAAAGAAAAAAGAGGACAGGCACAGTGGTTCACACCTATAATTCTAGCACTTTGGGAGGCCGAGGTGAGAGGATTGCTGAGCCCATGCATTCGAGACCAGCGTGGGCAACAGAGTGAGACTCTGACTCAAAAAAAAAAAAGAGCAAGTTTCTTAGCCTATCTAAGCCTCAGTTTCTTCATGTATAAAATAGCAACTATTTGTCACTTAGGGTTGTTGTGAGAATTAAATCAGTTAATAAAAGTATTGAGGGCCATTGCTTTGCTAAGCTATGGTCTGATCATGTGGCTCCTTGATCTATGGTCACCATGTTTCCTAGCTTTGGCCCCCTCTCCTACCTTGGAGAGGTGAATCTCCTCTCTCTTCTAATTTACTTTCTAAATAAACTATATTTTCCAATCTATCTGCTGTGCAATTCTTTGCATCTTTCATGTGGCACTGAATTGCATACCAGACACCTCCCAGTGAGTCTGATCTAATATTTTGGAGGCCCCTACGGGGATTTTTTTTTTTCCTTTTTTCCCCGAGTTGGAGTCTTACTCTGTCGCCCAGACTGGAGTGCAGTGGCCGCTCCTGGCCACCGCAGCCTCGGCCTGCTGGGCTCCGACGATCCTTCGGCCTCAGCCTTCCGAGTAGCCGGAATTACAGGCATGTGCCAACACGCCCAGCTGATTTTTTTATTTATTGTAGAGATGAGGTCTCGCTGCCCAGGCGGGTTTCGAACCAGCGGGCTCAGGCAATTCACTCACCTCAGCCTCCCAAAGGCGCGGGATTACAGGCTGAGCCACCGAGCCTGGCTTTTTGTTTTATTGTAGAGACAGGGTCTCACCATGTTGCCTAGGCTGGTCTCGAACCCCTGGGCTCAGGCAATTCTCTCACCTCCGCTTCCCAAAGTGCTGGAATTACAGGCATGAGCCACCACACCCAGCTACATCTCATTCTTATATGACAGCTTATGCAATAAGTACCATAATTTACCCATTTATTCCCCCCCCCCACTTTTTTTTTAAAGAGACAGGGTCTCACTGGGTCACCAGATTGGCTCCATGCAATCATAGTTCACTGCAAGCTACAAACTCCCGGGCTCAAGGGATCCTCCTGCCCAGCCTTTCCAGTAGCTGGGAAGGACCACATTCAGCAAACCCATACCTTTTGATGAGTTAATGATGGATAGACATTGAAGCAGATGGGTATTTAAGGTGTTTCCAATTTCTGGCCATTACAAATAAAGCTACAAACATCTTCAAATATATATCTTTGTGTAACTGATTCTTAAATTTCCAGAAGCTGGATCAAAGGAATATGCAATTTAATCAGAAAATGCAAAACTATATTGGTTTTGGAAAAAATTTTATTGACGCTTCCATCCTCTGACCTCTCTCTAGTACTTACTTGTTACACTATATATTGCCGTGTATTGTTTTCCAATACACAATTCAACTCCTCAGCTAATCTATAAGTTAAAGCACAAGTCATTTATGTCTTCTGTTTAGCTCCCACCATGTTCAGTCCTCAAATACTTGTCAAATTATAGTGTCCCAGGGTCCCAGAATTGTTGGAATAGGTACCTACCTCAGGTCATTCTTGAGTTCCACAACCACATCCTTGCCCACAAGGGACTTGAAAAAGGAATAGAAGAGCTATTGGGCGAGAGGGGGAAAACCATCATGTGGGAAGGAACATGGTAGGGAGGAGTGTCCCCTCCCCTGCCAATTTTATCAAATACTGGTAACTGGGATCCCCACTGCATCCCTGGCACTTTTCAAAACTTCGCTGCAAAGAACACTCAGTTGGCAAGGGTGAAAGGCTGGCCCAAATGATTCTGCCCACTTCACTGAAACTCTGCCCTGCATCCCTCGGCCTCCCCAGCCTGCTGTTTCAATCGACTGCCTCTCTTGGGGGGGGTCCCTGCTCACTCCTTTCAGTGAATTACAGAAAATATCTCACCCGCCCCCTCCCGGAGCCTGGTCTCCAGCAGGAAAATGCTCCCTAAAGTCTAGCTTTTCCGTCCCTGCTGTCCCCGCCGACTCTCGTCTCGGAGTTGTTTTTCCTCATAAGCAGCAAAACTCCCATTTGCTCTCAGGCATCTCAAAGAACTTGAGGGGCAGGGCTAGGGATGGAGAGTAAAACCCAGGGCCTAACTCCAGCCCAAAGGGACAAAGCCAGACCCTCGCCGGGCCCCAACCGTCCGAACCGCCCGCGCTCCCGAGGGCGCCCCCTTGTGACGTCACGGTACCCACCATGGTGCTGGCGCCACGGGCTGGACCGGGAAGAAGGCCGGGCGCTGCAAGCCGGACGCGAGGAAGCCAGAGCGCGGGCCCGCGCGTGAGGCGGGGCGGGGCCACGCAGGCGCAGTGGAAACCGCCGCACAAAGCTTCAAATACTGAAGGGGAGCGCGCTGCTACTCGTGGCTGGGGGAAAGCTGGCTGGGTAGAGCCCGAGGAACAAGGAAGCCGGAAAGGGGCGGGGCTTCCTGCCTTCCGACTTCCTCCCAGGAACCGGCTCCTACTGCGCAGGCGCGCAGCGGCTCAAGGGGATGGTAGGAGTCAGCTTCTGTCCCTGGAGGATTTTGTTCTTTTTCCACGACAGTGTTGTCCACATCGTGACTTACTTATGCCCTACACACGCTTCCTATTGAGAACTGTTGGGGAGTTTGTGGAAATTCATTTTGATTTGTGCACTTTTCTGTGTATGTTACACTCTGAGAAATAAAATTTTAAAATGTGGCTGGGCTCGGTGGCTCAACCTGTAATCCCAGCCCTTTGGGAGGCGGAGGTGACTGACTGCCTGAGCCCGCCGGTTCGAAACCAGCCCAGGCAACTTGGTGAGACCTCGTCTCTACCGTAAAATCAAAAACTAGCCGGGCGCGGTAGCGTGCGTCTGTAGTTCCCGCTACTTGGAAGGCTGAGGCGGAAGGATCGCCTGAGCCCAGCAGGTAGAGGCTGGGGTGATTCCAGCCTGGGCGACAGAGTGAGACTCCCAACTC